AGGTCATGGTTTGCGAGCGTCCTGCCATGGCTGGATTGGCACCGAATATGTTCGCAAACGCCGCGTCCCTTGCTCCCGTGGGGGGGCCATGCGGCGGCGGGCGCGCATAGTCTCTTCCCTGCTGGTTGCCGTAGTCGGCCATGGCGCCTTCTCAGCTCTCAATGCGATGTGGTGTTGCTGGGCATGCGCGGGCGTCTGGGATGACTTTTTCGAATAGGGTTGCTGCGTAATCCAGAGCCGGAGAGAGCAGTGGAGACGAGAACGGGCGCAGGCGGCGGAGGGGCCTCAGCGACAGGAACGAGCGGCCCAGAAACGGTCGGGGATGTCGCAGGCGGCGAGCGACGGGAGGCAGCGGAGCGGCGGTGAATGTCGAAGCAGCAAACGGACGCAGGTGCGCTCTCGGAGGTACAACTATCTCCCTGGCTAGCCCGGCGAGGGGCTGCGGGAACTCGGTCTGGGCAAGGCAGGAATGGCGCTTCGAGGGACAGCAAAGAGGCGAGAAAAGACCGTGGGCGCTGGGGTACGGGGGCGTGGGTGCAGCGGCCGTCGAATGTCGCAGACTCGCAGCGTGAGGAGTCGACGTTGGTGTTGCTGGTTGCTTGTTGGTTGCTCCTTGCCTTGGCAGCTCGAATCACGGGCCAGCCCGGCCGCGCGAGCTTGACTATCTCGAATGATGCCTCGCAGCACCACGCATCCTCCGCCATCACCCCAAGTTCCCGCTCCGCCTCCACACCACGCACCAGACCCCAGGCGACCAGAGGAGTGCAGCAGACACCATGGAGAGCGAACTGGCCCCGAGCTTTGCGCCGTTCTTTGGCATGGTGAGTGACGCCTGGCGTCGATGGTCGATGGTGACAGGAGAGCTAACAGCACGCAGAGCGGCATTGCCTTCGCCGTGAGTCCTGACCCCAGACGCTTCTTCGTTAACACAGCCCTGACCGCTCTCTAGATGACGTTCGGATGTATGCAGCCCCAGCACCCTCTTCGACCACGCAGACGCTAATCTGGACAGGCGCCGGAGCTGCTTATGGCACCGCAAAGTCGGGCATTGGAATTGCAGGCGTGGGCACATACAGGCCCGACTTGATTATGAAGGTAGACGCCCTGTCTCGAACCCCACGGCCTCATGCTGATCCAATGTCCAGTCTCTGATCCCCGTCGTCATGTCGGGTATCTTGGCCGTGTATGCCCTCGTAATATCGGTCCTCATCGCGAGTGACCTCCGACCGCCGCCGAAACAATACTCGCTATACGCCGGCTTCATGCACATGGCCGCGGGGCTGTCGGTGGGGCTGGCTGGGCTGGCCGCGGGCTATGCCATTGGAATTGTGGGCGACGTGGTATGTTGTGGCGAGAAAGAGCTATGAGCCATGAGGGCAATGTGCTGACTCTGGCAGGGCGTGCGCGCATACATGCAGCAGTCGAGGATCTTCGTCGGAATGGTGCTGATTCTCATTTTCGCCGAAGTCCTGGGGCTTTACGGGTATGCACCATCGGGAGACACAAAAGTTTGCAGGGGCCAGCTCACTGACATCATCTACAAGACTCATCGTCGCCCTCATCCTCAACACCCGCGCGCAGGGCTGAACGGGGCACGGTTTCGATATATATGTGTACGACTAGTTGGTATAGAGAAGCGAATGGCACGAGCATCCAACATTGGAGTTCTGGGACCTTGTACTAATCCGGCTTATGGAGCCGCTGCATTGGGAAGATGACTGTGGTCGCAGGAGCCTGTCTGCTCTTCCAGGGCCTGGGGGTTGTGTACGTGGGATCAGCGGTTAGCTATCGCCGTCGGCGCTGTATTGGAATACTACTTCAAACCTGGCCTCGCTGCCAGGGCAGATTCTCGGGCCCCATGAGTGTATGGTGACGAGACGGCGGCCCCCCGCAGGCCTGTGAGTGCCTTGACTGCCGCCTTGCCTTGGCTCCCGGGGCGTCTGCGCGCACTGGCTCTGCGCAGCGTCGCAAAGCTGGCGCTCGGCGGCTGGTGTGGGCGGTGATTAAGGGGAAATTGCCGTGTATTGCTTCATGCCCGAAACACGGTATCCAAGGGCGCGCATGCCACCACGTGTCGACAGTGCGGCCTCGACGGGCGCGCGTCTGGGACGGCGGCTGCCCAGTACCGGCGAGAGCATGCGGTGGATGTGCGTCTCTGCCCGACCGTGTCTGGCTTTGTTCGACTCCCCACGCCGCGCCGTCGTGCGTCATCTTGAAGGATTGGGGGCGCGCACTCTGCCCCATGCAGCACCCCGCTATGCCACCTGCTGCTACTCTGGCCGTCGACATCTCACTCCGCCAGTCCATGGTTGAATGCGACACCAGACTCGGCCCCTTTGCCCTCCAGAAGGTCTCTCGCCCGAGCCCGCCCTCGTCCGCTCCACCCCCGTTTGCCCCCCACAAACACGGCGCTGCCACCCAGCAATGCGCTAGAAAGAGCGGAACATCGCCCGCCCGCACCTGCACTTCGTGTCCTTGGCGCCCACCACCGCAGTCATGGCTGCCGCCGTCCACAAGCTGCTCCACCATGGCCACCACTCTTCGTCGCAGAACGAGCCCGCCCCGACTTCTCCCCACGACCGCCAGAACTCGGCCATGGACCGCGCCCGCGACGACGAGAAGCACTCGCTCGCGCACTGGGAGGACCACGAGGGCCAGACAGGTGCCAATGCGGATGACAAGCGCGTGGGGCACTCGTCGCCGTTGCTGAGGCAGGAAGACTTCGAGCTGGTCAAGACATTGGGGACGGGTGCGCACATTCCCATCCGGGCCCGGGACTCGGACTGTAGTGCTGACAGCCGTGCTAGGAACCTTTGCGCGCGTCTGGCTGGTACGATTCGTAGACCCGCGACCAGACGACCCGCACAAGGTGTATGCCCTCAAGATCCTGCGCAAAGTCGACGGTATGCAGTTGTCCTCTCGCGAGCGCCTGCAGCTGCTAATGGCCATGTGTCAGTGATCCGCCTCAAGCAGGTGGAACATGTTCGGAATGAGCGCAATGTGCTCGCTGCCGTTGCGGGGCACCCCTTTATAACCACAATGGTGTCCAGCTTCCAGGATCACGACTCCCTATACATGCTGGTATGCGCACCTTCGTCCGGCGGCTATCCGTGCTGACATGCCGCAGCTCGACTACTGCCCTGGCGGCGAGGTATTCAGCTATCTCCGGAGAGCACGACGCTTCAATGAGCCGACATCGCAATTCTACGCCGCCGAGATTGTCCTCATACTGGAGTTCTTACATGAAAGAGAGGGGGTAGCATACAGGGATCTGAAGCCCGAAAACATACTCATAGATGCCGAGGGACACCTAAAGCTGGTCGATTTTGGCTTCGCGAAGAAGGTGGAGAATAGTGAGTGAACAAGTAGGGGCATGAAAAGGCCTTCACTAACGTTAATCAGGGGAAACGTACACGCTATGCGGCACGCCTGAATATCTGGCACCCGAGGTCATCAGGAATACAGGTTTGCTTCCAGTGACCCAATTGCATGGGATCACACTCACATCGACTAGGACACGGAACCGCGGTTGATTGGTGGGCCTTTGGTATCTTGGTATATGAATTTCTCGTTGGCCAACCGCCGTTCTGGGACCAGAACCCCATGAAAATCTACGAACAGTATGGACTCCGAGTTCTTCTTTCGAAATGCACCCAATTGATTGTTTCTTTGTAGAATTGTTGAAGGGAGAGTTCGATTTCCCTCAGCCATGTCCGCGGAAGCACGCGATCTGATCTCTGGCCTCTGCACCGTCGACACTTCAAAACGCCTCGGCAACATCAAAGGCGGTGCCAGTGCCGTCAAGTCTCACTCTTGGTTCCAGAACATCGACTGGGACGCCCTCTACAACCGCAAAATCAACGGTCCCATCGTGCCCCATCTTCGAGGCCCCGCCGACACACGGAACTTCGACGAGTACGAGCCCGAACCGGACAACCGAGAACCGTATTCAAACGAAATGAAGGACAAATGGGACGAATATTTTAAGGACTTTTAACGCGCCTTCCAGAAAGTCCCAAAAAAAAAAGCAACTGGGATGGCGGCTATCGTCGGAGTTGGGAGAAGGATGGGAGTTTTACAAGAGCGCAAGAGCTGGACATCAAGAGGGGGAGAAACATATAAACTACTTACCCGAGTCGCACTCACGTTTGTAGACTTGGGTCATGAGTGATGGATGGCTGGCGTGCATTGGATTTCGTACGTCTTTCAGGTTTGGTTATGCCGGATTATGGGTTTTTTTTTGTTTTGTATTTGGATGCCAGCGGATGGGCGGACCACGCGTCCGCGGTACTCGCGCTTGATGATACCTTTGTGGGTTGTATGGAATCATGTCAATATGGTATGGTTGGATGATGATGATACCATATTCATTTAGCGGATCTAATCCGAACCAGAGGCTCCAGACGGGCTTGTATTCTAGTGATTGACTGACTGGCTTCCCGTATGTCTGTGTGCAAGGGATGATGTTGGCTTTGACGCAGGTTGTGCAGGCTGATTAGAGAGAGGGTAGAGGGAGCTGATGACTTCAATGCCATTGAGGGTTGGTAAGGTGGATATACTGTTCAGAGGGGCTTGGAGCATAAGGTAGGGTTCAGAGTAGGTGAGTGGGTGTTCTGAGCTAGGGGATTGGCTTTTCGTCGCGGGTTAAGAATATCGGCCAAGTAGGTTGAATAGAGGTGTTCTAAGCTAGGGGTTTGGCTTTTCGTCGCGGGTTAAGAATATCGGCCAAGTAGGTTGAATAGAGGTGTTCTCTCCAATCCTTTGTTGTTCTATTGACTTGGTAGAGTTACTGTTTCTAAAATAGGATATGTGATTTTGTTGCCACTTACTAGTTTTAGCCAATTACTTTTCATACAGGTATTGCTGCCAATCACTACAACTATTACCAAATGGTAAGAATGAATCCAGGAAGAATCTACTTTAGCCTGCAAATAATATGATGCCGGCTTCAACATGATACACGGTAGCAGAACAAAATCACCGTAGAGGGGCCTGGAGCATACGGTGAAATCCAATTCTATCAAGTCACACTTTTACAACACTTTCTGGTGTTTCGTCGCCGGCCAGAAGCTTCAGCGAACCACCCTAGGTACAGGCCTCGAACTCCATCCATCCGACCCCAATGTCCATCGACCCTCACTCTTCGCTGCCAGCCGTTCCCTCGCTCAAGACGCTATCCCTCCGTCTCCCGCTTTTCTTGAATACTGAGATTCCGGCGCCAAACACCCGTCCCAAGCTCCCAGACAAGCCTCCTTCGACCTCCATCTCGCTCGCCGCCCCTCCATCCTCCTGCTCGTCCTCGTCCTCGTCCTCGTCCTCGACCTCCTCCATCAGCCTCGGAAAGCTTGTCAGATCGGCACTCTGTCTCTTCCCCGCCTCGTCCTCAACCCAGCGCGTGAAGCAGGCCCCGCAAACAGCGGCGCGCCGCTGGCCCCTGCGGTCGAACAGCTGCGCAGAATGCCTGCTCGAGCACGTCGGGCACACAAGCGGCGTGAGTTCGAAGGTAGGCGTCGGTATGCGCGGCGGTGCTAGGGGAGGGTGTGAGCACAGGTCCAGATACGTCGTGGTGCTGGATTTCAGAGGGGAGAGGCGTAAAACTTGGCCAAGGGTTGTAGGTGGTGGTGTTGGGGGCCTATAGGTCGGTGGTGGTGAGGCCTGGCGCGTGGAAAGAGTGAGGCTAGAGAGTGGGAGGTTTGTGA